TCTACTCTTAAAGCAACTATTCATTATGAACAAAACATTGAGCGCAATAACTCTCAGCAGCCCACCCACAGTAGAGTCTGAATTCTAATAGGAAAACATGAAAGGGAGGGAAGAAGGTCACTATATTTTGAAAAAAAATGTAGACAAATGATGAGACCCTGAAATCTGGTCAATAGCATCTTGCAGAGAGTAGCTGCTCAATAAATGGGTAATGAATTAGTAAATCGTTAATTAAAAATGCATTAGGATTACTAACATTTCTACCTTTTCAGTGTTAGCATTCACATTTTGATCAGTACGTCTGCATATCCAGTTAACCCACAACTATATGAACTCAACATATTTTAAATCAATGACTTAAAGGCACCTGTCTATTCACGAATTTGCTCACATATCCGACAGGATTTTCTGAGCTTTACTGCAGCTACAGAGTCTGGTTCAACAGCTTCAACACTGAACAAGAAAAACATGGTCCCTGCCTTCCAAAAGCTTCGGTTAGGCAAAAAGACATGGACAGACCGTCAAGAACCACACAGATGGCAAAGTCTAAGTGTGAGCTGAGCGACAGGACCCAAGAGGGAGCCCCTCATGTAGGGTAGGGGCAGAGCCCAGGGGCCCCTGGAAGGCTTTGTGAACAGATGTGTATTTGCAGTCAAATTGCAGCAAATCTTCAGCAAGATTTAACAGAAAGAACAAGACAGGGGCAGAGAGTATGTGAAGAGTAGAGCAGAGGCTGGCACCCGGCACCCCGGGGAGATGCCTCCCAGGAGGCATACAGGCAGGCAGGCACGGAGTCCTGGCAGGCCTGGCACAACCTGGAAGGAGCTTCAACTATACAGTCCAGGCCATGAGGCTGCTTGAAAGGAGCTGCCAGATGCCAATGCCAGATGCCTTAACTGAGCATCTCCCTCAACTCTAACCAAAATTCCAGCAAAAAAATAAATAAAAATCTGCAGACACGAACCCGCTCAGTAGCAACAAAGGAATGGAAACAGAAGTACAGATGAACCAGCAGTGACTAATTTAGTACAATCAACAGAAGGAAATCCTGAGGCTGCAGCAGCAAAGCCGAGAACCAACCCAGGGAAACTGGCATCTTCAGGAGCCTCGGAAACCAGTAATAACCACATGTCCAAAACTGGGAGTGAATGGGGGGACACCTGGGGGGTGCAGTCAGTTGAGCGACTGACTCTCGGTTCCAGCTCAGGTCGTGATCCTAGGGTTATGGAGCCCTGCGTTGGACTCTGCACTCAGTGCAGAGACCGCTTGAGATTCTCTTTCCCTTTCCTTCTGCTCCTCCCTGCCTCCCCATGCTCCTTCTCTCTCTCTCTCTCTCTCTCTCTCTCTCTCAAATAAATAAATAAATAAATAAATAAATAAATAAATAAATAAATAAAATCTTAAACAAACTGGAGGTAAATGGGAGCAGGTGAGGGAAGGGGTCCCCTCCCCACCCTGAAAGACCAACCGTCCTCCCCAGTCTCCTCTGGAGAGGGTGAAACAGATGGCCCCTGAGCTGTAGGTGTGGGTCCCTGGTCCCTCAGTGCCAAAACCCCCAGCCCTCTTCTCCCCAGCTCACCCAACACCACCAACAGCCCCAAGCTGGATTTTGAGCCCCAAGCTGGAAGTTGAAAACTACCCCCCTGGAAAATCAGCTAAGGAGAAAAAGCCACCATATAAAAAAGCAGCTCTCCAAGGTCACCTACACGGACCAGCTCCACCCTCGGCTTTCTAACCCCCCCTTACTCGAGACCCACGGTCAAGGATTTTCTGACATCGTCGGAAAGCCTCTGACAAGGACAACCAGAACCAAAGGCAACATGGAGAAAACAGATCATTCAGGGGAGAAAAAAAAAGCTTTTAAAGCTTTTAAAAATCAGTAATTCCAACAAGAGAAACTCATGCATCTGTGCGGTAAGAAGACGAGGCTGTAAACAACATCCAGCAAAAACACACCAGACAAGTGGTCGTAAAAACAGCACAAATAAGTTCAGGAAACTTCTCACAGTGGTGCAAACAGACAAGGAAATGGAAAATAGAACTGAAAGAGAGAGAGAGAAGTAAAAAGCCAGTCCAGGAGTACCGCATCCACATACTCACAAATCAAGAGAGCCAAAGAGAGATATGAGACATCGTTCGAAAAAAGAAATGTAAAAAATAAATAAAAAACAAATAAAATAAAATAAAAAATTAAAAAAAAAAGAAACGTCCCCAGATTAAAGGCATGAGCTGCAGGTGCCGGAGGTGGCCAGCATCATGGAAGGAAATGGATGCCCACCACGGCATTCCACTGCGAAACTGCGCAACAGTGGGGGAAAACACAAGATTGCAGGGAAGGAATAGAAAAGGGAGTGATACCTCCAAATTCTTGAGAAAAGCCTAGAATTCTCTACCCAACCTCTCACTGAAGCATGAAGACATAATAAAGACATTCTCCCGGACTCAACGCGAGAGACACTGTGGGCCGCCACCAGCAAGATGGCTTGTCGTGTCGTAGCAGCTTCATGACCTGAGGGGAGAAGGCCAAACAGGGCAGACGGAGACCGTGAACAGCGTCAGGCTCATTGGGATCAAATACAAAACAGGTCCCCAGTCCTTGCTCTCGGCCCAGCTGCCCGGAGCCGAGGAGAACATTCCATTCACATCACAGAAAGTAGCGCTCGGGCCTGTTCCGGGAACAGGAGTTAAGCTATAAAAGCAGAAAATATAAACCAACTGGTTCCTGTCCGTATGTCTCAGGGATGGCCGGTCCCTGGAGTTCACGGGAGCTCTGGCAGACGGCAGCTCAACTACGATAAACTCTAATTCTCTAAAGACCAGCTCATGACTCTGCTGACTCGACTCTTGTAAACCAAGAAAAAGCAAAGCCAGCCTATTACCCAAACATCATTCAGCTATTTTCCCCTCCAAAGAGCAGGAAAAGGCCTCTTTCTTTTTTTTTTAAGGTTTTATTTTTTTTTAAGTAAACTCTACACCCAACGTGGGACTCGAACTCACAACCCCAAGATCAAGAGCTGCATGCTCCACCAACTGAGCCAGCCAGGCACCCCAGGAAAAGCCTTGTTTCTTCTGAAAAAAGTAGGCTTATATCTGCTTCTTACTTTGTCAAGAGCAAATAATAAGCCATTTAGGAAAACATACACCAGCAGTAACACTACAAAGAGAAGCAAGAAAATGACCGCCGCAAAGGCAAAGGCACCAGGTGCCTTGGCAGAGCCAGGAGAGCATGTCTGGGAAGGACACGCAGAAGGCTTCTTTCTGGTGGTGACTTCCCGAGTCTAGACCTCACCTGTTACTCAGAGCGCCCCACAGATGTGGAATGTATTTCAAAAGAAAATCCATTTTTTCAAACTTGAGGGACATGATCCAGTTTATGCTTTTACTAAGGGGTCGTCTAGGTGGCTCAGTGGTTGAGCATCTGCCTCCAGCTCAGAGAATGATCCCGGGGTCCCAGAATCGAGTCCCACATCGGGTCCCCACGAGGAGCCTGCTTCTCCCTCTGCCTGGGTCTCTGCCTCTCCCTGTGTGTGTCTCATGAATAAATAAGTAAAATGTTTTAAAAAATAAAATTTTAATTATGTTTGTTTATGTTTAAATAAGGCCACCATGAAGACAGTGGACACTGACCATAGAGGTCAAAAAGGGGGACGCAAAGAGGCCGTAGAGCCAGATATGTAATGGAAAAGTAAAAGTTGTTTTTAGTTATTACTTTTACCTTTTCCAGGGGAGGATGTTACCAGGAGAGCAAGAAAGGAAGGAAAGAAGGAGGCAAGGGAAGGAGGGAGGGAGAAGTGAGGAATGAAGTCATTGATGAGTTAGCAAAAACAAAACAAAACCCTCAAAACATTGTTTCATTGCCAGTGATCACCACCCCTACTAGCCTAGTCTATCGATGCTGCTCCTCTTATACAGGAGGATCCAAACACTGTAGAAGTCATCACTCAAACTTCAGAACATAATTTTATCACTAGTTTTAAAAGTCATCTTGTTTTTTTAAAGACTTTATTTAATCATGAGAGACATGAAGCGGGGGGTGGGGCAGAGACACACAGGCAGAGGGAGAAGCAGGTTCCTTGAGGGGAGCCTGGACCCCGGGATCATGCCCTGAGCCCAAGGCAGACGCTCAACCACAGAGCCACCCAGGGGTCCCTAAAAGCCATCTCTTTAGGTCCAATTTTATAAACAAGGAAAAGTGCAGCTAGAGAAGGTTCACAATTTGTTGTGATGGGTTTAAATTCTGAGTAAGGACTTCGGCATACCAGCGCCCACACCCAGGCCCTAAGCTCTTGCTGCCCGGGTATTCTCCACAGGGGATGTGTACGGCACTGCAGAAACGTGCCCCCTCGGGATGGGAAGACTACTTTCTGCCAGGTGACAGCAACCACATTTAGAACTGCCCCAGGACTCGAGGTCCAGGTAGGAAGAGGACATTTCAGGACTTCCTCTGGGCCGCACACATCATCCCCGCCCACAGCTTCATATTCATCTACATGGAAGTGTTAGGCCTAATTTTCAAGTGTCAGGAACACAGTGATCCATTTCAGTTGTGTGTTTCTTTCCCCTTCTGTTGGCACCCCCAACCCTCACGGCCTACGGCCCATCAGATACTCACTCAAACTTCTTGGTCCATCCAGAGAACCGACCGACCCGTCAAGAGGAGCATCATTTTCTATTATTTTTACCAAACAAATACCAAAAACAGACTTGCTAACTTTTTGCTGTTGTTGTTGTTCCCTTTGTAAGGGGTGAAGGTGTTATTATTCTATAATAATGCATTATGGAGAAAAACAAGAAAGCCACAGAATTTCAATCAGCATCTTGTAACACGAGTACTTGGGAAGATGACAAAACAAAGCACAAGCTCACAGGTAACATTTTAAACATTTCAAATGATAACTGGCTGAGCAGGTGGGAAAGGATTCACTATGAGAAACTTTTCACTCAAGAATGGCTGCTGTTGAGAAGAGTAATAAACAAGTCACTAGGAACCGACATCTTACCTTAAATACTTCCATCGGAAGAGGAAACTGTGCGGCATCAGTGAGGGATTTTTCCAGAGCACATTTCCACTCAGAGGCCATCTTCAAAGGATAGATTTCTGTATCAACAGCAAACCACATAAGCATTTAAGGACTCAAATGTTCTGCGGGTGGTTCTCTCTTGAATTTTATCTTCCAAGTTTTCGGAGTCACTCCGTGCACTCAGCAACCGTGAGAATTCACACCCTGCCCCATAAAAGGCCACCTGCTGATGGGATTTTCCGATGATTAAGAGCAACCTGAGACTCAGCTATCAGAAATGAAGAATAAACTTCACAGGGCCCCTTCAGGGAACATTTGCATGCATTCTGTGGGCATTTCATATGTAATTTATTGGCACAAATCACATTAGCACCATCTCCAGTCATCCGCTGCCCCAAATTCCATGCATCACCTGGGAAGTAATATCCACTGATGAAGAACTTATTATCGGATAAATTTCTAAACTTGAAATGACTCTTGTCTGGCATTTTCAGTTATTACAGCATATTTTTCACTAAATCTCTAAGCTCTCATATGCTAAAAATAGCCCATGTAAGCCAGAAAATTATTAAAAGGTAAATTAAAATTTACCAACCAAGTTTAATATTTACACTTGAAATGTTGCTAACACACCACATGTTGCCCATATTTTCCCCCAGGCGGTAGTGGGGGTGTAGAGATGGGGGGTTGGGCAGAGGGATTTACGAAGGGAGGTTACTCTGGCTGAATGCAAAATAGAGAGAAAAAATTTGTTGAGCACTGTTTTCACCGATTGCTGAGACTGCAGGGGGATTTTATGATCTGATCTCAACGGATTTAAGACCTTATCAAAATAGGATTTGCAGAAGCACTCAGTTGAAGGAGATATGTTTATACCTTCCCTATATCAACCCAGGCTACTTCAGACAGACCGTCAGGACATGAATATGAATTTAAGCACAGTTAAAAGGCAACGTTAAACCTTTGGGGCCATATTTTTAATTTCTTGCATGTCTGCTTTTCAGCGCACAGCCATATATTTCGATGCCCACAGCTTTTGAACTCACCTTGAGCCTAAAGCTGTGTTTCGAGCAGTTTATTGAGCCTTTTCAGGCTCCCATAATTATCACAGGACAGAGATGCCACCAGAAGGAGTCAGGTGTTCAATGCACAGCCCACTGTCACTCACAGTCAGTTACACAAAGTCACATAAAGGGTCATTAATGACAAGACAGGCTCTACTGTAGATACTGTCTATAATCCTTTTTTAGCATTTTATTCATACTCTTCTACCTCGGGAGAATTTTCTTCCTCACCTAATTTGGCATCTCTATATCAGAACAAGAATAGAACGGGATTCCTCTTAGGAGCTTCTGACATATAACAGTGAGGCCTCTGTTATCTCCTGTGCAGAAAACAGATGAATGGTACCTGCATCACCCACAGCTGGGCAAGGGGAGCAGAGGGAGAAACTGCTTGTCACAGGGTCCCACAAAGGAGCAAGAGGGGCCAGTTCACAGCCTTCTAAATTGTCCTGTGAGGACGAGAAGATGGTTCAGCCCAGGGCCACTGCACCAACATCTCAGTGGAGAGGAAGCAGCTCAGATGGCTCCAGAGCCCTAAGCATGCCCATGACACAGGTCAGGAGGGGGCTTAGCATGGAAACAACACACAAGAACCCAGGGTTCCCAAGTAGGTGAGAATAAATCCACTTCCCCAGGGATCTGGAACCTGGCCAACAGAGAGTTCAGCCTTGGCATGGTGGTAAAAGGAGAAGCAAGGCATGAGAAAGGATAATGATTGCCAACGATGACACAGGAAGAGTGGGAATAGGCAGTAGAGGGTCCACTGTGTTGGTGTCTGGAGTCCCACAGTCTGGGGGTGGCAGAAGGTAAAAGAGGAGGGTAAGAGAAGAGCGGCTCAAGAAAACGATGCCAGACAGAGCCAAAGCCCACCTGGCCAGAGTTCAAGCTGGACACTTACAACTGAGTCAGGTGACCCTGACCTCCCTATAGGGACGCAAGCAGCCCTTCCTGACAACCGTGTCCACACACCTGGCAGAGCAAGATGGGACCCACTGTGTTGCCCCAGAAAGCCGAGCTCCTGGTCCTCTTGATATTGTCTTTCTCCTACCAAAACCAAAAGTCTGGTGCTATGGGCTGAATGTTGCTGTCTCCCCAAAATCTTACATTGAAATCCTAACCCCTGAAGTGATGCTCAGGAGACAGGGCCGTTGGGTGGTCATAAGGCGGGGGGAGCCCTCATGAATGGGATTAGTGCCCTTACCAAGGAAACCCCAGAGAGCCCCCTCACCCCTCCCAGCACGTGAAGACACTGCAAGAAGGCAGTTGTCTATGACCCAGGAAGCAGGCCAGGCCCTCAGCAGACACCTGTAGTTGCCTGGATCTCGGATTTCCAGCCTTCACAACTATGTGAGAAATGAATGCTGCTATTTCTAAGTCGCTCGCTCTATGCTATATATTCCCTGCAGCAGCCTGAATCGACTGAGAAACTGAGGTTCCACAGGATTTGAGTCTCTGTCCTACACTCTTAAGACCCTTTGTCTTCTTTCTGAGGCTACAAAGCCCTAATATGGAATGTAACCCCATGGCAAGGCACACTTCTCTTAAAAGGTGAAAATCAACTGCATTTTTTGCAGTATGCTCAACCACCTGCAAAAGCTAAACACCTAATGGTTTCAATAAGCAGAGAACAATATTCTATGTGTGTGTTTCATTAGACAGCGAGGCGCTTGGTTACACCAGCAAGTTTATGGACAATAAGTAGCACCATTAAAAGAACATAAACTATTTTCTTAAAATGATTGTGTTGCAGGTGATTTAATAGAGTGTATCATGTCGATTTCTGTTTGTGGGGAAGTAATAAGCAATTAAAATCTGGCCTGATCCATCTTTAACTAGAAGCCTACATGAAAATCAGGCAATTCCCCTCTGGGCAAGCGTTTGGTGGACTCTTGCAAGGCAAGAGCTGTGGAAAGCAAGAGTGGAGTGTGAGACCATCAGCTCAAGCCTCAGACTCAATGAAGGCCTGGAGGGGTGATCACCTTCGTTGCAACCCTGCAACCACCACTCCTTCCTTCTTTTACCAGCAAGCAAAGACTGGTCTTCAGTTGTTAAGAGATGCTGGGAAGGCTATAAACTGAATGTTTGTGTCTCCCCACAAGTCTTATGTTGAATCTCTCACCCTCAATGGGATGCTGTCTGGAGATGTGGTCTTTGGGAGGTATCAAGGTTAGAGGAGATCATGAGGGTGGGGTCTCCAGGATGAGATTAGTGCCCTTATGAAAGAGACCCCAGAGCTCTCTCTCTCTCTCTCTCTCTCTCTCTCTCTCTCTCTCTCTCCTGTGTGCACATAAAAGGCCACTCACAAATCAGGAAGTGGGCTCTCCCCAGAACTCAACCCTGCCAAGGTCCTAATCTGGGATGCCCATCCTCCAGAACTGTGAGAAAATAATCTGTGTTGTCCGAAACCACTCCACCCTCTGCAATAGCATTTCATCATGGTCACCTGAGTTAACGGTTATAGAAAGTGTCTTTGGACTGTTCTCAACTAAGAAACAGCTCAGAAACCTCCTGACTCCACAAACTGTCTAAAATAGAAAGAAAAAGAAAAAGAAATGGTTGACATAAAGATTGTGAAGGCAAAAAAAAAAAAATACAGGAAAACATCGATAGATACACATGAGAAAGACCTCACAAAGTTACGTGTTTTCAGTCTCTGCAAAAACATGGAGGACTCTACCTTGATTTCTGAGTATCCAGAAACATGAAAGCAGGTGGGGTCTCTAAAAACCTCTTGACCTCGGGGCACCTGGGGAGCTCAGTGGTTGAGCGTCTGCCTTTGGCTCAGGGTGTGATCCTGGGGTCCTAGGATCAAGTCCCGCATTGGGCTCCCCACATGGAGCCTGCTTTGCCCTCTGTGTCTCTGCCTCTTTCTGTGTGTCTCTCATGAATAAATAAAATCTTAAATAAAATAAAATAAATAAAATAAAAAAATAAAATAAAAAATAAAAAATATAAAACCTCCTGACCTCAACAACCTACTTAAATTTCTTAGAAAAGCAAATATGACCATAAAACTCTGACTACAGATTGAATACTCAAAAAACGCCCATCATTTGGGGCAAGGCTCAGCAGCACAGCAAATTCACAATCACTCCCCATTTTCCAGAGGAGGAAAGCAAAGGGACTGCCCGGGGCTCTGCAGCGAGGAACAAGAGTGCAAGGAGAAGCTAACTTGGACCTATGTTGGTTCCTACTCTGCTAGCTTCCTCAAGCTTGAGGGTAAACATCCCCTTCTAGGGAACAAAAATTACCGTGAAGTCCACAGACCATATTCTTGTGCATTGAGTAGATCCCAGAGCTATGCTGGGTGCTAAATAACAGAGCATCTCCACTTGATCTGACCTGTCTTCAAAAACTCCCCTCATATATCAGGGTCAAAGAGGACAGCACAGCCCTGGCCATTTTGGGGGTGTCTTCACACCAGGCCCTCCCTTCCAGATTGGCTTCCAAAGCCCCATCAATTATTGGGCTCCTGGAAGGATGTGGCTGATTCCCCCCCCCTTTAGATACACCCAACTTTCTATTCAGTCAATTCATTAGACATATATTCGCCGAGCAACTACTATGTGCCAGGCACTGCTCCAGGCACTAGGAGAGAGAGGGGAAGCGGACACCGATGTTCAGTTCAAGTGGCTACAAAAATCCCCTTGGTTCTAAACAAAGCAAGGTGGGAGGGGGTTGGCCATGCCACATCTGGAAAAACAGACCCCAACAACGGGACATGCTTAGCAACCCAGTGGAACACAAAGGAGGCCCACATGCCAGAAAATCACTACATGGGGGCAGTTTGTCCTCCACTCAATACTGAAGGAAAGGGACAACTCCAGGCCCAGCTTATAAAGTTGATTTAATTCATGGGGGGAAAAAATGACCCTTCGTCTTCTCCACACACACACACACTTTTTTTAAGCCTCCCAACGTTAGTGTAACAGAGGAGAAGGAGATTTGGCCTGGGAGTTTGGGCACCAGAGTTCCAGCTGCAGCTCTGCTCCAGTGGTGTGACCTTGAACCACCAAGTCTTTTAACCTCTCTAGGCTTCAGACTCATTACTGTAAAACGAAGGGGTTTGGAATGATGCCTGAAATAATGTCAGTTAAAACTCTGCCCCGATGACTTCATTCTACTTGTACAGAGCGAAACTAACTGGAAACAGAACCCCTTCTGCAATGTTCTTGCACCACATTTTTTTCCTCAAGCAAAAACAAAAACAAAATAAAAACCAAAAAACAAAAACAAAGAAAATGGTCACCAAAGGTGACCAAAAATGATCACCAAAGGAGAGATGAGGGGGACAGGGAAAGAGGTAATGGGGATGAAGGAGGCCACTTGCTGTGATGAGTCCCGGGTGATGTACAGAAGTGCTGACTTGCTGTATTGTACACTTCTTGATGAAGCCTGAAACACTCAGGACTTGATCACCTCACATTTCACCACTTCCTGTTCCCTCACCCATTCTTCACTGAAGCTGGATTCCACCAACACCTACATGCACCCTGGACAGCCCTGGGTGGGAAGCCCCAACCTATTTTCTCCAATATGTGCCAGAAATGGAAAGGCACAGTGACTGTAAGTCCTCTCTGGAGGATGGCATAAAAGCAGCCCCCTCTCCTAGGGTTTTTGAAAACTAACTGCACTTCTTATTTCCCATTTCTACCTTTATCGGTACTGAACAGTTGAAAAATATCATGCCCTTTACAGAGTAGGAAGATTCAGTAGAACTGAAAAAGAACTATGGTTCATTTTAGCAATGGTGGCAGTCAGTGGGGCCGCACAGCCAAGCGGGCATGGGGGAGGGGGTCACACGGCTTTCTCTCATGGTGCACCCTAAACATCTATCCTCTCACCGCTGCTCCCACACCTCCAAATCTCCCTCTCACACTTAACACTTCACATTTAGTTCAGGGTTTTGGGGAGTAAGAATAAGAGCTCATCTTTTTATGCAAGTCTGAAGTTTCATTCCCACCTATATTTCAGCAAAGGAAAAGAGGAATGAGTACTACCATGTAACTTCTAGGTTACGCTGGTCTTGAAATTAATTCACACAAACCCAAACTATTATTATTATTATTTTATTATTGTAAATAATAGGCAAATTATGAAAGCAGCCTGTGTGTCCACTGACTAATGAATGGAATATATATATATATATATATATATATATATATATATATATATATGATGGAATGTTACTCAGCCATCAGAAAGAATGAAAGCTTGCCATTTGCAATGACTTGAATGACTCTCTAATGACTAGAGAGTATTATGCTAAGTGTAATAAAATCAGTCAGAAAAAGACAGTATTGTATGACTTCACTCATAGGTGGAATTTAAGAAACAAAACAAATGAGCAAAGGAAAAAGAGAGAGAGGCAAAACAAAACAGTCTTAATTCTAGAGAACCCACTGCTGTCTACAAGAGGGGTGGTGAGAGGATGGAGAAACAAGTATGGGGAGGGGAGAGTGCACCTGTCATGATGAACCCTAGGATATGTACAAAAGCAGCGACTCACTGTATTGTCCACTTACATAACACTGTATGTTCACTAACCAGAATTTAAATAAAAACTTAAAAAAAATAATAAAAACATGGGTAATAATCATCACCCTGCATGTTGCTCTGCTAAATGAGCCAAGAGAATCCAGTTTTCATCTTGTAACTGCTGCATCCAAAGAACTAAAGGCCACAGCTGGAGTGTCCTTTTGTCTTTTATTTTCCTCTGCCCTTACAAAGCTTCTCTTGTCAACAATTTAAATATTGGGAAAATAACCTCTTAACGATGAATGCCTTCTCCACATTCTTTAAGGAAACCCATGAATTCTTCCATGAAATGGACAACTCGTGTCCAGAAAATTACTAAGACAAGTAAATGCAATTTATTCTTATCTTATAAAGATATTAAATGATCTAAAAAAGAGAGAAAGAGCTCTCCTATGCAAATATTTCCCAAGTTTCTATGGTGACACTTTCCATTCTTGCTTTTGAGTATGAGTCCTATGACTTCACAGCAAAGGAACATTGCACAGAACCTAAGAAGCCACTAATAATCCTTCGCTTTGCTATAAATGTTCACACTGGCAAATACAGGGATCTCCTAAAATTTATAAAGCAATTAAGATACTAAGCTAAGATTTATACACCCAACTTCCCACACAAAGTAAATTTCTCCTGCTAGGTTATGAATCCCAAGGCAAATGTGAGCTTAGATCTTTTCTCAACACTGACAGGCCCTTTGTTTGTCATCATAGTCCAAAATTACTCAGGGTATAAATGGATTTCCTGGCTGCTTCTCAAAACGTTGACAACAATAATACTAATAAAATACCATGTTACGTGTCTATATGCCTGTCAAACTCAACACAAATGCAAATACATGACATACAGAACCAAGAATTTTTTTTCAATTAAAGCCCCTGAGTGACAGAAAAGGAAAAAAATGTAACTCCTCAGTTTCATGTACTTGAGACTAGCACTGGCAACTAATAGGAAAGAAAAAAAAATCTCTGGCAATTTTAACAAATGATTTGGCTCTTTGCTTCCAATATACCTGGTGTAGTAGATCAGAATGAGAAACAGCAACTTCTGGAAGAAATTAATATTTCTACCTTGGCATCTTTAATTCTGTAAGGATCCAACTTTTTTTTTTTGTTCTGAGGATACCCATCAAAAGGTTTGTAAGGCCAGTAGGTGCAGCAGGGGGAATGGGAAGAAACGAACATGGGGCCTAGGAATTTGAACTACAGCACATCCCCCTCTCCAAGCTCAATGACCTTGGACAAGTAGCTTAACCTTAGTCTCCAATTTTCTCTGCTGGAAAAGGAAATATTCACACCAAACAAGGAACACTTTTTTGTAATCAAAACAAAGGCATAGCAGATAGAAAATCACCTGGCACATAGTAAACATTCAAGAATGGTTTGTTTGTGAACGGTGAGATTTTTGGCCAGTGAGGTATGTCAGGAAGCATAATGCACTGTCTTATCCAGTTAAGTCTGTGGAAAGTCATTTGACGGTCCCCTTGAAGGTAATTAAAATCCATGACGTGCCAGGAAAAACGTATGATGATTTTCTCTTTGTTAGTTCCAGATCAGGACAGATTATATAATGATATGCATTTGGTTGGATATTCAGATGCATGGATAGATGGATGGGTGGATGGATGAATAGCTGGTTGGATGGATAGGTGGATGGATGGATGGAAAAATAGGTGGGAGGCTAGACGGATGGAGTAGATGCATAGGTGGATGGATGGGTGGTTGGACAGATGGAGGGAGGGATATAGATGAATGGGGATGGATGAATGAGTGGATGGACCATAGAGGATATATGGACAGACATATTTTGGAACCTCCTTCCAAGACTGTCAAAATTCCTAAAAAAAAAAAAGTGGGGGGGGGAGAATATGACCAAGCCCCAGCTCATTGTGTCTTTCATTTGTGAATCAGTGATTCCAGAGGAGAGAGATCAGCATCACCACAGCTTCCATGGTTTTCTCCTTTTACGACACTATTAACTGAGGTCTTGAGTTCTAGTTTCCATAGAGTATTCTGAGGTTAAAATGCTTCATATTCACGTACACATACCACTCTCCAGAGACACATCCTGGAAAATACCACATCTTTTTCCAAAATACTTCGCAGCATCAAAAGCTTTGGCCCTTACCTGAAGGTGGATCCATTCTGTATTTATTCTCTTGACACCAACCAACTGGTCGAAGTCTGTAATCCAAGTAAAACAACCACTGGTCATAGGATTCAGTGTCCTCCAATCCCACATAGCGAAGGCGTAATCTTCCTCCAACATTTTCAATCACACTAACTATCCAGTACTGAAAAGGGCTCTGAGAATCCTGAAGTTCTATTAAGGAATCAACTGTAATGAGGTCTATAGGGCCTTTCCCTCGCAGAGGCTGTTTAAACAGAAGCAAAACTCCTTATTTTAAACTTTATTTTAAGGTTCTCATGGAAACAGATGACAGTTGAAGATAATATTTTTTTCACACCATCATCCAAGCTACTGGCAAACAGTCTGGTGTCTCCCTCCACCCCCATCCTCGTCCCGCTCCTTCCACACACACGTTCATTCCCCCCAGCCCTCTGTCCACCAACAAGAATCATAAGTAAACAGAACATAACAGTTTGTGCTCAGTTCTCAACAAACAAATCACCCTTCCCAGATAAAACTGCATTTGTTAGAAATAAGCATGCTTTTAAGAAGAGTCACACCAAATTGGGCTCCAGCTAGAAAATATGTGGTAGCTAAATGTCTATTTGCCCATAGACGGTGGGGTATAGACTTACCCCGGGACTCAACAGACATTCATTCATCTTACAATGGCTACCACGCTAATGATTAAGATGCTCTCATACTTTATGTGAGCAAAGCATGAATATGCATACATGACATGTCCAATACACATTAACGATCAGATACATCAGACAATTATGTAAAGTTATTTCTACACTTAACTTGATTATTGTTTTAGAGAATATATACATATATACACACACACACATATATATATAACTACTGCCCCATATAAGCAACCTTCTCAGCATATATTAGCACTTGAAAAGGGTATTTGTTCAGTCAGCCTTGTAGGCAAATATGTTTAAAAAAAAAAGAATGAACAGAGTAATACAAGGGGTGAAGAATCATCATTTTGATCTGTTAACCAAACAAATTAGGAGCCATTAAGATACACAAATACACCAGGAAAAAATCTTCACAGAACAAAACCGGATAATGGTATATTAGACAGCAGTGCTCCAAAAGTCAATGTCATTTATAAGAGGAGGGAAATGCACAGTTAATGTTAAGAGAATAATGATGATTCCCCCTTTTGATGGGGGGCGTTCCTCAAGCAGATTTGGTAACTCGATAATCATTTATGACAGTACCGTGTTCCTTCTGTTGTACAATATACAGTAAATATTAAATGCTTTATCATAAAATTATTGTCAAATGAACATTAAGATTGCATATTAAATGATGTTCTCTTCAAAACCTTAAAAATACTTCAACCACACTGAAATACGATTGACCAGGTCCCCTCGTGTTTTCACAAGGGAAGCTAATTCAATTATTACGTTAACGCACGTGTGTTATCGTCAGGTTACACATCCAGAATGGAATTGTTAATGAGACCATTTATCATCATGCTCCAAGACTACAGTAGAGCACACCCAGGCTTTGTGGTCACCTCTACAAAACAGCTATCCTCCGGGATTTTATTTACAGTCACTAATCTAGGACAGAGGCTTACACACACAGGATAGTGGGAAAGATACCCTAATATAGTGATTATTTACAAACATGTTCACACAGAACCAATTTTTCCACGTTATTGATTGTACCACAGGTGAAGATGCTTCAGTGCCATGAGACTCATTAACCTAAACAATTCAGGGAGGAACAAGAAGTTAGGCTCTCTGGAGAGAGATATCCACATGTACACATGTACCTGCTGAAGGATATAGGCAAAGGTGCTCATGTAACCGTGAGGCTTCAGACACAGAATAGCTGAATAACAACAATACATACACCTTCTAGAAGGTTGGCAGGTGCTGTCCGGGAGCCAGTCAAATCACGAATGAGGAACTCCGTCCAGTCTGTGTACTTCTCTTTGATTGCTGGCAAGACAAAAGAATGGGGGAAAAACACACATACATGCACATGTTAGTTAGCACAGCAGGGGATGATCAGATAAGTGTAAAATCACGGCACTTTTCTGTATACATGTGTTATTTCCACATTTCTCTTCATTTTAAGCACCATGTTGAAATGGGGGCAAGAAATCTGTCCACGAGGGGTAACTTCACGCCTACCACGTGCCTCAATTTTGCTGGGCATGGGGGAGAAGGGGGAATTAAAGAATACGGGGCCCTGAAGTTTGATAATCCACCCAGAAACTTCCGTGGGCAAAAAGAAGGGATTGTGAAGCACAGAATTCAGGGAGGGTCCAATAAGGAAGAGACCAGTGAGGAGCAGAAGAGTCAGAGGACAATTCACAGGCAGAACAAGAGTGATGGGCTCTGAATTACACAACAGGTTTACACAGGCAGGAGGAGAAGAGGAGGAGGGATTTTTCAGATGGAGAGGCACCAGCTGAGGAGCCTGCCCCAGGAGGAAGGAAGCAGGCAAAGGCAGCGCCCTCATCACCAGCTCTGGACGCTGCAAAATGACAACGACGCCGAGCAGCAGCCCAGAGAACCAGGGTGCACACTCAATAAACAGGAAATCCCTGTGTAAAATGAATCTGAAAATAGTATAGGGGCTTCAGTGGAAACAAAAGGGGTTGTTGGGCAGACACACCCAGGTGAGAAGCTGCGACAGCCCTCTGAATACAATAGTGATGGGGCCCTGAACAGAGTTGGGACCACTCTGTGAACAAGGAAGGAATGCACCGGACCCATCTTTGGAGAAAGAAATTTCAGACGTTGGAAGCCAACAATCTCCGAGTGCTTAGACCCCCAAACCTTGAGAAACACATTAACTTCCTGGAGTATCTCCCAAATCACAGATCTCCAAAGGCTTCCATAAGTTATATCCACACCCAGCAGAGTTCCTGAACCTTCCTGGGGCATCACAGGTTCAGGAAGTCAGCAACAGAGGAGAGGCATGGCCCAGATTGCTGTCCACCCAGTCTGTGGGCCACCTGGAGAGCCAGCAGGCCGGTGAGTACTGCCTAGAACACATCCAATACTTACCCTTTGTGAAAGGTTCGAGACTCTGGTGGTTTGCACATCCCTTGTGTTCTGCAAAGGCATGATGCAACAATTCCTTGCCCAGACCTCAAGGAACAGAGTTATCACAGAAGGAAACCAGGCCATAATGGTGTAGAGGGAAAGGCAAAGTCATGGCATGAGGGTGACCTGTGCGCCATAGCGGGCTCTGCCGAAACTGGCTATGACTTTGAGTCATTTACCCAATTTATCTTATAATTTCTCCTCATTGGGATAACAGTGCTAACATTTTTGCTTATGGGCTGCTATAAGGATCAAAGAAGATACATATGTCAACGAAATATAAGCATCCCGGGCACATAACACACAATAGGTAAGTAGCAGCTTTTGTTTTGTTATAAGTGTGTATTAATTATTACACTACACTACACTCTTGCCAAGTACTTATTGTTCATTCCCTCAAACTCCAGGCTGAAACTGTGAACACGTGTTGGCATGCCTGCCAACAGAAGGGGGAACAATCGAAACACCTGCTATTTGCATCGCACCTCAGTCAATATCCCTCTCTTACCCATTAATGATCATAAGACCCTGAGAAAAAAATCCAAGTGGGAAAATTCAGACACTGTGAAAGAGATCCAGACAAGGCTGCAAAGTCCAGCTTTATGCCATACAACATCCTGACCACAGCCCTGCTGAAGAAGCAGCAATTCACTCATCATCAGCTTCTACCACCAAATGTTCTTTCTCAAATAAAATACCATCTTCCTCATTTTCTACACACGCACTCAAAGGGTAATGCATGTATTTGGGGCAGGAAGTGTTACTGTGTCCTTTTCCATCATTAGAAAGCACAGCAATCATCTTTCAATGCTATATCTGTTTCTAAATTAGCCCCTTGGTTTGTACTAAATGATCTGTGTCCCTCAAAATTCTTCCTGAATCCTAATGCCCGACACTGCGTTAGGAGGTGGGGTACCCTTGGGAGGTCATGAGGGTGGAGCCCTCCTGATGGGGTTACTGCCCTTATAATGAGACATCCCCACCCCCCGGAGAGCTTCCTTGACCTTTCCACCACCATGTGCAATTACAACAGGAGCAGTCAACTCTGCACCAGGACGTTGAATCTGCTGGTGCCTTATCTTGAACGTCCAGCCTCCAGAACAGTGAGAAATAAATCGCTGTTGTCTACAAGGCATGCAGAGTGTGATATTTTTGTTGTAGTGGCTTCAATGGGCAGAAACAGCCCTCCAACGTGCCCACAGTTCCTGAGGGAACCAAAGGCAATGGCATACGAGACAATTGAATTAAAATTTGCATTCACCTTAAACTTCACAAGCATAACTATAACTTACTCTGTACCTTGTGATCATCGTAACAGTGCTCTGAGGGGGATGTTTCTAACTAATTTTTCCCAAGTTCATAGAAAAAACAAGGGTCAGAGCCAGCCTCAAACTCAAGTAAGCAGATGCCAAGCCTACCAAGAGTCTTTCCATGGGAATCCAGGATTCTCAAAGCTTTTGCAAGGAGAGAAATCAGGAATGTAAACCCTAGGCACGACAGAGATAATATGAAAATCACTATCTAACCAAAAGTTCCAAGAGGACAATATACAACTGCACCCAGTAAATATGCATTTCATATTTCTTTTTTTAATGATTTTATTTATTTATTCATTGAAAGACACACAGAGAGGCAGAGACACAGGCAGAGGGAGAAGCAGGTCCCCCCAGGGAGCCCGTGGGACTCAATCCCAAGACCCCAGGGTCACGACCTGAGCCGAAGGCAGATGCTCAACCGCTGAGCCACCCAGGTACTTCTGCATTTCATATCTCTTTACCAAAAAAAAAAAAAAAAGGCCTATCAGCATAGCCAAGTGAAGGATGGACCTGAACTTGACAGACTTTATGTCCATACCCACTGCAAGAATAAGGTTCAATTCTTCACTTAAGGGTTGATTTTAACATCCACATAATCAAAGTAAACATTTAAGTTAAAAAATTTTAAATATGCCATCACCCTATGAAGACATCATGCAATGTTGAAACTGAGCTGAGTCACAGTGAGAGAACACTAGAGATAGCTCCGAAATTTATACTTTGTGAGCCTTCCGTTCCAGAGGCCCTATAACTATCCATTAACATCTCTACACGAGGCTCTGAAGCAATCTTTTATGTGCCATAGAATATCTGGACAAATTACTCTACCTGAAAAATGTACCTTAGCTGTAAAGATACACCAACAATTTTTGATCAGGAGGTAGAAAGGAAACAGTTCTCAGGAATATCGTTACATTTAAAAGAAAAACTCTTTCAGTCAACATTTAGTTTTTAAAACTCTAAATGTTCACATGTAAGATCTATTACAGAAAATTCTGCCATCTATTTTTTTAAAAATTCAAGTAACAAGTCTACAATTCTCAGTCAATGGACTTATTTTAAGTAATATTGAATTCAGTTAAATTTTAGTACAATGAAAATTGCCCAGAAATTCCTTAGAATTCATTGCAATAGAAGCTGATCTTATTTTCCAGGGAGTTTCCATAAGTCTCTAAATAGAAATTTTAAGACTACAGATGTTCATTTACTATAGAACATCTCTCTGCAAAGACTCAAAGTCAACTAGCATGGATGTCGGAACAGAACAATCTTTCCCAAATAGGATAACCAATTTTTTGCCCAATGGTCATTCTCTTTTCCATCAGATCAAATTCCAGAAAACCTACCACCTGCCATCAGGTTCACATGCTCATCAGATGTGAACTCTCCAGCAAGAAAGACACAGTTAAAGTGAAAACAAAGTAGATGGATAAAAGTTTTTCCATAACGCTGTAATGACTGCCCCATGTTTTTAACTCATACAGAGGCACTCCTGAGAGTTCAGAAGAAGATTCTTTATTCACAAGAATAATTAGGGGCATCTGGGTGGCTCCGCGTTTGAGCGTCTGCCTTCTGCTCAGGGCGTGATCCTGGAGTCCTAGGATTGAGTCCTCATCAGGCTCCCCGCAGGGAGCCTGCTTCTCCCCCTCCCTATGTCTCTGCCTCTCTCTGTCTCTCATGAATAATTAAATAAAATATTTTTTTAAAAAAAGAATAAAATCAGGATCTTTGTGCAATCCTCTCATGAACATGTTTTCAAGGTTCTACTCAGCTTTAATATTATATAAACTCAGCAGAGGTAATATATAGATAATATATATACTTTATCCAACTTTGCTTTTTTAAAAAATCCAAGTCACATTCCTCACTTTAACACCTCATTGTGGGGAGAAACCCACATCTCATTCACTGAAGGAAGGGATCATGAACACAAGTTTCAGATAAAGAAAACACACGCGTGCGTACACACACTTCTTGTGAAGACATTCAGAGGTGGCCCCCAAATCCCACAACAGCACTATGGGGTTTACAGAGCTGTCTATAAAAAGGGTTCCAAATAGGGGTGCCTGGCTGGCTCAGTCGATTGAACATGCCACTCTGGATCTCTGTCCGGGTCCTGAGTTCGAGCCCCACATTGGGTGTAGAGATTTTTTTAAAAAAAGAAAAGGGGGATCCCTGGGTGGCGCAGCAGTTTAGCGCCTGCCTTTGGCCCAGGGCGCGATCCTGGAGACCCAGGATTGAATCCCACATCGGGCTCCCGGTGCATGGAGCCTGCTTCTCCCTCTGCCTGTGTCTCTGCCTCTCTCTCTCTCTCTCTCTCTCTCTCTCTCTCTCTATCATAAATAAATTAATTAATTTTAAAAAAATTAAAAAAGAAAAGGTTTCAAATGAAAGGCATAAGATTACTATCTTTTTTTTTTTTTTTCAGGATTTGGGGAAACACCAGTTGTGCTGGACTCCCAGGCCTATCACATGCCTACAAACAGAGAATTCAACGATTCTTCACTTCTCCAAGAGGCCGTCTGCTGCAGACACGCGTCTATGGGTAGAAAGCTGCTCATCACACTG